ATTTTTAATTTTGTTTCTTCTTTTATCAAACATGATATGTTTCTATATTAATATTAAGATACGTATTAAGCAATTGTTCAAATTATAAATAATTTTTTTATTTTAAATGTTGAAAAAGTAACACGAAGTACGAATGATATGTTTAATGAATATTTTACATTTTATAACTCTTATTGCATTACCGTTTAAATTTATATATAATTAAACAAGATAACTTGAGAAGTAGCACGTGGAAATGTTAAACTAAATCATTTATGTTGGAATTTCTATGAACACGAGCAGAATGCTATATGCATTATGTTCACTGTTTATTTGCAATGTATTTAATCGAGAAACGATAGAATATATTCTGAGTGACACATGTGAAACAATAAGAAACCGCAATAGACATCTCAGATGCATTGTCACTTTCATTCTATCGTACCAGGAAAGCGCATCTCTTATCTCCGTGTACTTGAGCAAAAGTAAAGGGACAGTCTGAATAAATTATTCGTTAACGTGATAAATGCTAAGCGTTAAAATAAAATACGTGAATTAATAGAAAACTGACATATAAATGAAAAGCTCGCACGCTGCCATTTATAATGTGCTTTGAAACTTTTTACATTTATTTTAATAATTAAATCACACTGCAGCGCGATGTTAATACAAAATACAATGCTTCAAAGCGGGACGATAAAAGTCTATTGTCATCAATTAATTTTTAATTATAGTTATATGTTTTTTGCTTTATTTTATAATGAAGAGGAAGAATTTATTTCATTGGCAAAATTACAGAAATTACAAATTATACGCAAATAAAAATGTATTGCAGCTTGAATATACCGTCAGCATTTATCGTCATGATTACTACTGTAAATTAATTGCTGATACGCGATGCACGAACGTGCAGCCGCAAAAGATATTTGCCATTCAATTGGCAATTTGTTAGCCTTAGAATTCTCTTGGAAACTCCTAAATGTCGAAGTTGCATAAGGCAAATAATTCCCGGCGACAATTCAAAGGTGGCTACCGCAAGCCTGCGCGAGCCTAAAGTGTTAAGTAGTACTTCGTAAGCTACGCGCGACGAACTCGCCGTATTTGTTCCCCTACCAAGCGTTAAAGGCAATCTGTCTTGTTCTCCTTGTTGTTACAATGACACTCACCGTTTGGCGCAAACGTGACACGCATAGCATCATTATTCTATCCAGTGTTCGCTCGATTCACGCGGATAACTTGACCTTAATATTATTTATTGGAAGCAAGACATTCTTGCCGTCCACCAAAATTCTACCGTTTATTATGTGCAGGAAAGTAAAATTAAAAAATAAATTTGTTACCGTGTATGTAGCAAAAAATATTTTTATTTAGTAATTTAATTTTGTCAAAATGTGGTCAAATTTTGTTACTTTACTGATTTAGTTAACCATATTATTTTATAGCATACCTTAGACATAGCGTTATTTTATACTTGACAAACTTATTATTCCAATTTTAAGTTATATTTAAAATATTTTATTGTATTTCTATATGTTTGAATATTGATTACTTTAGTTATTTATTTTCAAGATAACAAATATATTTACAATGAATATTTAGGTCAACTGAAATTGATAAAGTTTTAGCGACATATCTTCGCAGAGGAAATTCAAAATTTGTGAATTGCTGCTGAAACGTTGCCTCAGAGATGAGTGCAAGATAAATTCACTTTGACGTGTTATACAAAGCTGTGTTCGCCTGAAAGGCATCAAGGGATTTCTCTATCTCTCTGTATTCCTTCTACGTAGACATTTCTCTCTATTTTTGTTTACATAGAATCGCTGATGAAAAAAAACGAAAAATCCGTTAATGAAAAATCCGTAACCACCGACAGCATCTGTGAATCAACATTAAGTGGTTTTTCATTATTGGATTGATATTTCTGAATTTACGAGCAAAAAATAAATGTGCACTTAGTGGTAACATCTGCGTACTCGACTTTGACACTTCGTATATTGCACGAAGATTTATGATTACTTCTTCCGGCCAATTCTACAAATAAACGATAAAATTATCCCACTTAATTCCTTTAGCAAAGTATACATCATAATAATCTTTAGAGATAAAGCAGAACCATTTATTTTTAGCAAATAGTGATAAATCGTATCAATTAGTAGTCGTAATTTAAAATGCACAATAAATTCTTGTAGTAAATATCAAGATTATTTAGTTTAAATATTTTTCCTGAAATATTCTAAAGTATTATTAGAAATATTATTTGAAGAATTTACTGTATCTTCATAATTTGCGTTATTCATAACGCTAAACTATTTGACGAATTACAAATTGGAATTTGTGTAAGATTCACATTTTTGATAAATTTTAAGATCAAAATACGTCATCTTTATTACTATTTATAGAAAATTCAGTAAAATTTTTATATTTTTTCTCCCAAATTAGTATATCAAATGTTACATATTAATGTCATACTAATCATAAATAGCAAACGGTGTCCATTTATAGCTTTTATTAAAAAATAATTTGCAGTATAATTTCTGATGAACGTTCTTGTAGACTCGTGTGTAGTCACAAATAAACGATAGGTTTAAAGGAAAGAAAATTTTGCGCGATTAGACTAAAATTCATAGTTTGGTGAAACGTTTTTAAAACGAATATGCGCCATGGTGCGGAGAGTTTCAACAGTTTATGATACCTGATTTTATCTACGCGCGGCCTTTTCACCGTATCTGCACACCATGGCGTGCGATAAAAGGACTCCTACGATCAGACGTGACGGCTCTGGATGATGAATGTGCTAAACAGTGCGTCAATATAAAAGAGATAACGATAAATGCCGCGATTCGATCGTAAATCTCTACGCGCCCCCGCATACTAATACAATCGCACATCTCTCGATTTTGACTCTCGCGTTTTTACGTTTTTGCGCATCGGATTTTATTCAAGTTTTTATTGGGTGAAGATGAAATCAATGTGATAACAGCATGTTAAATCAATATAGACAACATATGCAAATAATAATTGCGAGCGATTGCCTCGCTTTATGCGCAATAAACTCGCAATAATTGAAAAATTAAAATACAAATTATGTATAAAACTTATATATAACATCACGTATAGCGTGTATAATTTTTTCAAATTAATTGTTTTAGATTTTATGTTATGCTATTATATATATTATAATCGATTAATGTGCTTTGCTATTTTATGAGTTTACATTTAAAAAAATTATATTATTTTTTATTTTGAAAAAAATTGTATGTTTTTTTTCAAATTATTTTATGTTTTTAGAAATTTTTATAAATTGGCATGATTTGGATATATATAAATTTTAATTATCAAAATATTAACTTTTTTCCTGAAATAAAACTAAATTTCTGCTGACGTATTTATTCTATTTTTTACGTTATATTTTATATTATTTATATATTCTGTAATTTTATTACTTTTTATTATTATTATGTAAATATTTATTTAACAGTATTTATAAAAATGTTTTATTTATTAACATATGATAGAATAACAACACAAAATATACATTTTGCATTACACATGTTATGTTATTGTATATATGCATTATGTATGAAACTGTATATTGTGCAATTTCTCACTGGTTTCGCTAGAGTTACGGACAAATCAATTTATTTTTCGCTTGGATGCTTTTTCATCGCACATTGACTGATGACCTTTGATAATATTGATTTGTTTATATTGGATGAATAAAGACAATTTCGCAGAAACTAACTCGAACAGAGACTATATTCGGTGATTCTTATACCTTGGCGAGGGTATAATCGATAAAGATAATAGAAATTGCGTGAATGATTCAATAATTTAAGAATCGAAGAATTCTTGTTGCGCAAACCATTTGCAACGGGGTCTCTCTTCTATATACGTTCGATCGTGTGGTTCCGGTTAGAAATTACATTTCTAGCGGGGCTCATAAATCATACGAATCTCGACGGGGAAATAATAAAAAACGCTAAACCGATTTGCGAGGTAGAAAGAGAACGGAAAATGACATGATTTTTCTCGAAAGCCTTTTTCACCCCAGCGCGTCGAAATGGAAAGCTCGCAACAAGTGAGATTCGAATCCGACAGGTACAGCAGACCTGGATTATTTGTTGCTTGCAAACATGTACAGTAACGAATGGTGCAGATTTCACGGGTATTTGTGTACTATGAGTCAACACAAACATGAATGAATAATTTAATTTCATTTTGCTTACATCCAAAATTTTATTAATTTTATTATTTCATATCTTATAAAAAAACATTTTATATTTTGCAAATAAATTCGTTGAATGTGCATTACATATTCAAAATATTTACTTTTAGTGAAGAAAAATAAATATAAAGAAGAATAATTAATTGAAGAAAATTTGCTATATATTACATTGTTGTTGATCAGATATTATACATGACATTTAATATTATAAAATGCAAATTATTTAACTTTAATATATTTAATTTTACTATCTGCTATAAGCACATTTTGAATATTAAAATTGTTAACAACGATAATCAATAATATAGTTTTTTGATATGTTGACCATTGAAATATTTTATTATCTTTTCATTGTCGCGTTTTATCGTCAAATTTTATGATTATTTGGATAAAATTTGACAAAAATTAGGTGAAATTTGATAAGTTTGTTAGCTACCAAATATAAATAGTAATAAAATGCAGCAATATTATTAAATTTATTAACTAAAATTAAAAAAGAAAGATTAAAATATAAAACTTGTATCAATATTATTGATTGAAAAACATCGGAACGTGTTATTGGCAATAAATTTTCCTGCTAATTCACATTTCTCAATAATCGTACAAATTATCTTTTATTATCTGGTTTATTATTGACTTTGTAATTCAATTTTGTATGATTATTCGAAACGCGATCACACAGCTTGTTAGAGCAGGGTTACGCGAAATGCGTCACCCGTGCGCGGCTGACATTTTGCAAATGTTGTCAGTCATATTAGACTAACGCGCCATGCGAGGGTAGTATTATCGCATTTACCTCGTGTTTATTCATTACATCGACGCCGTGTCGACGCAGTTTAGCGAAGTTATACCGTGATTAATGGCTGACAGCGAAGCACATAATTAGGATGCAAAATTCATCAACGAGTAGGCGATAGAGCCTAATTGAATCTGATGCCAATCGCGCCAACCGCGTTTCCGTAATTCTTCCTGCGAATAGAAATAAAAGTAAGACCTCCAAGCCGATTTGCGAATACATATTTCGGCGCAAGAATGGCGATGGCTTATGCAAAAAAAGTGTGAAATAACGTGATATATCAGAATTTTGTCGTTTGTGCGTGGGATGCCATATGTTGAAAGTCGCACCGACGTTTTTTCGCCGATCGACGGCTTCCAATTTTGGAACTGACCTACTTTTTGATCACGCCGAATAGGGCAGTATAAGGATTTTATGGCCATTCATATACGAACGTAGTAACTCTTGCAGTGTTAATCATAAAATGTTCTATTCTCGTTCAAGGTTACGCGCTTGATATTAACTAAGTGAGTTAATATTATGGGAAAACCAATCGCGATTTTGTAAATCGTGACTGTGTCGCATATGGCAAATTTATGTCAGATTGTTAGATATAAATACGATTAAATCTTTTAGCGCTTTAAAATTTTTTTCTAATTTCTAGTAGTTTGCGGAATAAAGCACATGTTTTTTTTTAATTCCATTTATATGATCCTCCTATACAGAATTTTGAATCAAATCACTTTTATTATAAAATATCAATTTATAAAACTATAATATCTGGATGTAAAAAAATTGCAAAATATCTATTTCAATATTATTTAAAAAATATTGTTGTAATAATCAATGATTATAATGATTAATCAAAGAATGATTAATCAAAGAAATCGCTTAAAACTTTTTCTGAAATTAATATTCCATCGCGGAAAATTGTAATCTCGACGTGATTGTGAATCAATATAGCGGTAATTTAATTTGCAAAGAAGTTTTAATTTCCTTGAAAATCGCCATTTTTCATCTTTAATCGATAATATAACGAGAAATTGTATCCATTATCCATTATTCATTCTATCGTACGAATAATTTCGCGTCTCGCGGACTACGCCTCTGCTCTAATTCTCCCGCTCTAATTCCAACAGTCTCATTAGACACAATTGCATTCCTTCTCGTCGGTTCAGAATCCCGACTCCCTTCCCCCATCATCGGTATCGCCTCCTCTGTAACGGTGGCATAACAGGTTGTGCGTCACGAAGAGCGCGTACGCTTAATTCTCATCAATCTGCGAGATGAGCACGGCGCGAATCGCGCGCGTCAGTTATGACATTCAGACAGCGACATTCAGAGGTTCGCGATGCCTCGCCCTCGTAGTTTCTCTCGATCTTCTCGATCGACGAACTAGCTTAAGCTTAGCCTCAACCCCAGTACTGCGTGCATTTCTATTATTTCTAAAAGCTGAGAAAAAAACTCGCGCTCGCCGGCGAGAGGGAAACGACACGTGAAACGCGAATGTGTAACAGTGCTGTGTAGCGAGTATGCAAGGGTGGCGGTGCCGGAGGGTGAGAGAGGGTGTGCGGAAAGAGAGAACGGAAGGGACGGGGAGACGACGCGCTGGCTGGTGAATGAACGAGAATCGGATTCACTAACCTGCCTGCCTGTCCGCCGAGTCCGGAAACCGAGGAGCAACTGAGAGAGGTGGTAGCGTCGAGGCGACTGTCCGCGGCTCCACTGCCTTGGTCGTACGAAACCCACCCCCACGACACCATCTCCCTCCGTCACCCCCGCCGTCGATCCTGCCACCACGCCGCCGGGGTCCCTGTTCCTTTCGTAAAACGGGGATGCTCTTGGGACTTCGCTCTCTCTCGCCCCGTTCATGCTCTCATTCGGCCCATTTCCTCTTTCTCCCTCCTACTCCCTCCTCCCTCTCACTCCTCTGCTCACCAACCCCACTTCACCCTTTCCCCTCCTCCTCCTCTCTCTCTCTCTCTCTCACCGTTCCCCTTCGTCCTTTCGTTCTTTCTTCGTCGCGCTTCACGCTTCTTCCGCTTCTTTTTCGGGGTATTCTGGAACTCCACTTTCGCGCAGAATTCCTCCCGACCCGCCACCACCCCTGCCGCCACCCTGCTGCTGAATTTTCCCCTGAAAACCATCCTGCCGACGAATGTCCGGGAAACTGCACCCCTCTTGTTGTCAGTGACGTAGTTGTCGATCAGGGAGCCCTCGCTCGGCTCTTGCGTCGGGGTGGTTGATGATCGATCACTTAACTTCCTCGTTATTTCTGGGACGTAACGTAGTATTGTGAAATGCGGTGTACGTGGGATCAGGCACGTAAACAATTATGCGAATCGTGGGTGAATTTAATTTTAACTTGGATCGAACAACGCATAGCGGAGTTGCGTATTCTCTCGAGTTTGCGTGTAATTAAGCAAACATTAATTAGATGCAGTTATGTAAGTTATTTAATGCTCGTCAGGAAGTATCTAAAAGTGAAGAAGAACAATCATATTTCTTTGATGTTAATCGGACGACTATAGCTACGAAGAAGTATGAATGAGATGAGAGAGTGAGAGAGAAAGAGAGAGAAAGAGAGAAAGAGAAAGAACGAGAGGAAACTATGGAGATCTAATTTCCGGAATATTAGAAATCCTAGATTATATCAACGACCTCTGACGCGTCGCTTCGTTCAGTCAGGCGATTTCCTCATCCTTCCTCAATTTCCGTCTATATTTTAGGAAGCGATCGGAGACAAGTTTCCGTGAGACATATTTTATTCAATGCGCGTCAGAAAATCGGAAGGTCCGCGATCAAAATATCTCAATTCCCGACGTAAACGTTCCAGGAATAAATGCGACGCCTGTTACCGCGACTTCCTTCAGATCTACCGAAGCACTGCATCATGCGAAATGTCAAAGGCTAGTCCTCGCGTGGTTACATGGAGAAGGGAACTTAATATTTTTTCGCCCACGTATCCTGGCCCGTCACAGAAGAAATTGCGGGAAAAATCGTTGGGAGACCAAGGCAGGCTTACAGAGCTGCCTTTTACGGGACATAATATTGTTGATCTAGCTAAATTGCGCCGCGGAAAACATCGGAAAAGAATAGGTCGCGTCGCGTAGAAGGATTATTCACTCCGTTGCACTCTTTTCCAGGTGACCAGGATTCTCATTAAGCCATTCCATTTGTTTAGATTATACGATTAAATATTAACGAGAACGTTGGGTAAATATATTATAACTTTAATTGAGTGGTGAATTATGCGACGTTTAATGCGTGACATTACATTACTAGATAAATTTATATAAAATTAATAGAATTAAACACATTTTCAGAATATTCGTCGCGCAAGATATCACATTTGAGATATTTGCGACGTTGTCGGCTAATGTTTTAATTAAAAAAAAAAATTAAAATAACAAAAAAATTGTGGTAAAGTAACGAGGATAAATTCACTTGTTGATAAATGCACAAAATTTCTGCAGCTCAGTTTGCAAGATAATTTAAGTTTTATTGAAACACGGAGTTAAATCAGACTCGCACTTACGTTCGTTCCATCCACGCGGCTCCTTAATTATATTAACGAACTTCCCAACGGTTGAGTGCCGGGGAAGGCGAGTTCAGAGCTTGTGAACTTCCAAGCAAAAACGCCGATGAGACGCACAGGCAGCGACGGAAGCTCGAGGCGGTAAAGTGCTGAGAAACTTTTCCCATTTTAGTCGCCGCTTCGAAAAGAGATTTCTGCCCTAATCTCACCGTGACTGAAAGAACAGCTAAAGAAAGTAATAAAAAGAGCGATTTAATCGATGGCTATTTAATCTTGCACAGAATTCGTGTCGAATTTCTTTGCTTTCATGCGAAAAATGAGAATATGCAAAATACATTTGGTTTCAATTAAATTCGTGGAATAGTCTAGGCGCTAAGGGCTTATCGTCTATTGTGTAATTATCGTATCGAAGTTTTCTTGGGGCTAAAGCTACGGAATTCATTCATCGTTGTGTTTCTAGGATTAAGGGATAAAACGCTACAAAGACAATCGGGGGCGAGAAGCCGCAGCGAGGAGCTATAACGATTTTGACTCCCAGATACTTGTTGCGCAGGCGAGCTGAAATTTAGCTTCTCTTTAAGCTATATTGACTGTAACTACGCTATACAGCGTCGCCTCGGCGAAGCGTCGCCCAGGATTTAATTTCGCAGCAATGTATGATCGGATTGCTGTCAAAAAAAATTTTTTTTTATTTACAATTTAATTACTTCTGTTATTAAATATTGTCATCTACTTTAAAAATATTATATTTGATTTATTAGTTTAATATTGCGAAGACAAACACAACTTATCGCAAGTCTAATAATTCTAATAACTCTATTAAAATAGATCATAATTAGAAAAAAACTTGCCAAATTTTTTAAAAATGGTCTTTTGGTATGCCAATTTTGCAATTGTGGCTTACGATTATTAACGAGAGTAATATTTATAGTTGGTTTAGTATTGCGTAGTACTAGTGAATCGTAGTTATGCGCTAGTTATTGCGAGGAATGAAACGAGATATATGTGACAATGCCGGATCTATTAATATTGAAATGGAAGTCTACACTGTCAGGAAAATTAGAGCGATGTGAATCACGAGATTGTCACCAATTATTTTGCATGTAGATGAAGGCTACATTCGTCGCGCCGAGAATGAGTTTAAAAAATATTCAATAATATGATTACATATTTATTGCAGAAATAGATTTGACATTAATCAATAATAACAATTTATGTGATATATAAACTTAATATAGAATTGCAATTAGTGCAAGAACTGTTATTCATACAATAACAATGAAAATAGAATTATTTGAAATTAACTGCTAACTGATAAATTTAGATTAAATGGTAATTTTGCCATTTAAAAAGAGAATTATATCACAATATTTATTGTTTTTTGGATAATTACAAAATATAAGATTAATTTTCATAATTCTTCAAGTACACATGAATGTGCAACTATAGTCTTAACATTTTTCTTTTGTTAAAAATATTCGAAAATATTGATTATACAACTTTAAAGTATACTTCTTTACAATAGTTTTTTAATAATATAACTATCGATTATCAAGATTAATTACTGCGATTATATATATAATTCAAGCATTATAACATCTACTCCATAATATCTTGCTATGTCAGTCGTGTGAGTATAAAATACAACTCGCGTATAACGTTGATCTAAATTATGAGAAATTTATTTAGGAAAAAGCAAAGGTTGATTTATTCTATCTGTTAGGCTAAATAATTTTAGCCGCCTTTTATCATGGTGGAAAAGGGCATCGCACAATGTCAATTGCGTGAGTAATTATGACCGGCAAATGAATTAGAAAAGTTTCTCGCATCGACAATTTCTCGTCTGAGACTCGCATCGAAATACGAATCTCTCTCATAAAATGGAGCTCTGTGCTTTGTACTTGATGTCATTATAGCGGGATAATGTGTGTGTGTTGTGTCAACAATGAGTATCACATCGTAATGACGTACATTCTATTGTACCATGGAAGTCTTCTCAAAATAAAAAATTCGACGAATCGGATCAAAGTTGTAAATGATCAAATTAAAAATAAACGATAGGAAATTTTTATTAATAATTCTATCAAAAGATTTTTACCGTTGCACACGCAGTGTGCTAAAGTAGAAAATTTTATGCATCTTCATATTAATTAATTAAAACTAAAGCACTTTTTGAAACAGAAATCGGTACATTAATTTTAAAAAGCAAAATAATTCTAAAAATAATTAATTAATCCTCTGTATTTAGAAAAAGAAAATGTCAAATAGTTTTGATCATGATTTTTGATCTTCAGTAATTGCATCGCAGACAAAAAAAATGTAGACATTGAATCTGATCCTCATACTTTTGCGTAATTGATTACGCATGTGTATTTACTTAATTCTATGCAAAGTGTTGAGACAAATTATATTATAATCGAAAATAATATTAGTATATAAACAAGTTCGTAATTTATGAAATATTTTTTACAGAAAATAGAATAAATAAAAGAGAAAAAATATTTGTTCAGCATCTTGAAAGATAAATCTTTTGAGAAGGGGATATTTTTGGCAGAACGTAATAACAAAACAATCTAACACATATAAAGGAATAACAAAAGGGGGTAACAAAGGATAATAACAAAAGTTTGCCATGGATGACCAAAGATTTTTTTCGCAATATAAGTAAGGGATTCAAACTGTTGGTAGCCTCATGATTGACCGTTTCAATTTCGTATATTCGCCCTTTCACGTTGTAGTAGATATATAGGTATATATATTTGTAGTTATATAGAAGACGATTCACAAATATGGACCATTTTTATCTTTTTATTTTTGTTTTTGCGTTTTGTTTGCCTTTTTTTATCAGTTTACAGTTAAAATTTTCAATATATTTTAAATGTAATATAAAATATAAGTTTTATTAATCTAAAAAGTTTAACTTTTGAATATAAAAAATTATTGTCGCATATATCTCGTAGCAAATTTCATTAAAATCGACACACATATACATCTGCTGTTTTGTTTTCCTTGTTTTTGCGTGGAATTCTTCGATATTATATGTGCGTGCTTGGGATAATTCGCGGAGGATAAACTGTAAAATTGTTAAAAAAGATTCATGCCCATGCAATCAACTTTTGGAACGTCATGTACACGGGTGTAGTCGGATGGGCAAACGAAAAGAACGAAATCGA